AGTGCCTGCACTCTGAAGGAGGGGTGTTAATGTTGCAGTTTTATAACTGTAGTGTAAGCACACCTCTGGCAAGACAGTGATGGAGTGAATAATGATTAAAGTTTTTTTTTTTTTTCAGGCCACCCTGCCTTTGTAGGAAATGGCCAGTGTGTTAATAAAAATAAAGTTATTAAATCCCTTTTTTCTTAAGATATTTAAAAACAAACTTCTTTCTGTACAGTTTAATTAGAGCCCCCCATTATCATTTATATCTGGCATTCCAAACTTACCTGTTATGCTCTCTATAACAGTGTCTCCTACTTGATCATTTAGATCTCCCACAACAAACACTTTTTCACTTGGTTCAAAACTCCTTGAACACTCAACATCTCCCAAAATCTCCCCCCTTCCTTGTTTATTACTATTTGCTTGATATTCATACCACATATTGATGTCAAACAAGACATCACCACTCCTTCCAGCAGCACTAAAGTATTGTGGCTCCTATACAAAGCACTGGCAGCACTACTGTACTCTTGTGTTGGCAATACAGTGGACCCCCGCATAACGATTACCTCCGAATGCGACCAATTATGTAAGTGTATTTATGTAAATGCGTTTGTACGTGTATGTTTGGGGGTCTGAAATGGACTAATCTACTTCACAATATTCCTTATGGGAACAAATTCGGTCAGTACTGGCACCTGAACATACTTCTGGAGTGAAAAAATATTGTTAACCGGGGGTCCACTGTATATGGCTTCTGTAGCCACATCTCATCTTTGATATTAGTTTTAGCCTACATATTATTATTATTACTACTACTACAGTGTATGGCAATCAGTCTTTTTCTTGAATTTATCTATCTCCATGAGAGTAATTCTGAAGTTCTAGTTGTATTATTCATGTATTTTTTTTCAGGTGTCATGACACTCAAAGACGAAGATCATAAGCTGTGTTTAGGAATTTGCTAGTGAACTGTGTGTGTGCTTGCCTGGTCTTAAAGCTTCTCAGCTACTAAGGTGGTCCCTTGCTTCAATCATGGTGCCAGGCTGTCTCGCCTTTTCTGTTTCATCTTGGGCAATTTTTATTGAACTTCATTGATGTTGGTACTCTTATGGAAGTTGGAACTGAAAATTTAGTCCAAAAATTGCTTTCCTGATGCATTACTGTACATTTGTATTTCTTCCAAATTATGGCAGCTCTAGCCCCTTTGCAGTTGAGGGAGATGGCCGACATGTTAAAAAGAAAAAAAAAAAATGAATTTTGTCTATTACAATCAGAATGCTTTTTAAATGGCCCCTAGTTATTACATATGCCTTGTCTTGTATTAATCAGTCAGTTCATTAGTGCATATCCTCGGGACTCACCAAAAGTGTTGTAGTATATTATGGGAGGAGAGTATCCTTGAGCTTCTTGGAGCATGTATTAGTGTCAACTTCCATAAAAGTGAGTCTGTCCTCTTAACTCTCTAGAAGTGCTTCAAATACATTATCACCCATTCATCTCTTTCTACTGTACATAAATCTAGCAAGATGTTTTCCTTGTGAAGATATCTTTAATGGATCTATCAGTATAGGCTTCTGAAAAATTATGTCAATAGTTTCTTCCTCAGAGACACATCTTAGGGAATGCCAATCTGATGTATTCATTATGCTAAGCAACAAATGGCTGGTTGCAGTGCAGTGCTTCACCAGTTAAGGGTACTGACATTGCCTACTGTTGATAACCTATTGCAGCTAACTTTTTAACTAACAGAGGACTCTTGCTGTGCAAAATTTAATTAAATTACTATATGTCAAAGCTAAAGTTCTCTTTCATACAAAGCTTAGGTTTTGATGGAATTTTCTTTATTGTCATTGTTTCCATTTTTAAGAATGTGATTTAAGTTAATATTCTTTAAATTCATTATAACTTTAATTTCCTTATTCAACCATATGCTTGAGCCTGTCCCTAGACCTCTTGTGTCTCTGAAATTGAAAAATCCTAGTTTCTGTGTTTATTTTTCACTAAAATGTATGACATGCTGTATTTTCTATCTTACGAGAAATAATTTTCCTCCAAAAAATTTAAATAAAAATCAAGTTTTATTTTTGAAATGCACACAGGTGTTAAAAAATTAGGTGAAATTTCATACATTTTAAAAAGCCCAGTTATGGAGATCATTTTGGTCAGACAAACTGTGACCATTATTTAAAGTTATTTATTGCTAGGTTTTTCTTTTTCAGGCCACCCTGCCTTGGTGGGAATCGGCCAGTGTGTTAATAAAAAAAATAATTATTGCTAGGTGTGAAGATAAGTTTATTAAATTTAATTATTTAAAGTAACAAAACTCTATATGGTAAATTAAAACAGCAAAGGTAATATGAAGAAATAGTAATACAAAAGAGCACTGACAATTTTAGTTATAATAATTATTGGGGGTAGAAATATAGTGGTGACAAAAAGTGCATGAGTATAACTGCTGACTATGGAAAAGCAGTTTTTTTTTCTTTTTTTTTTTTTGAAGCAGTTGGCAAATAGTGAACTTTGAGAATCTTCTGGTAAAGCATTCCACATGTTGGGGACCCTTGTTGTCATTTTAATTTCTACTCAGGTTGAGTCAAACACATTGGATATCAAAGATATTTGTCTTGTGTAGTATTTATGCGTTCTGTTGCAGCTATTCAAGATTTTTTGGATTACTTTAATATGTATTTAGTGTCCTGTATATCCAGTATGCAGAGTAAAAGTGTGGATGTTTTGTATATTAAGTAGAATAGAGGGGATGTGTGTTGTCTGGAACCTGAGTGATAAATCTAATAGAATATTTTTGACTAACAATGGATTTTAGATTGGATGTTGTAGATCCCATGCACATATGCCGTAAGTGAGATAAGGATAGATTAAATAGCACAGAGTGAGTAATGTTGTTTGAGGTTTATGGTAACATTTTTTTTAGAGTGCTTATTCTTTTAGAAATTTTCTTAAGATATGTGCTGGATGTCTTAACTTGTAGTGTGCACTCAGGGTGTATATCATAAAAAGTTTCTTTCATTTTGTCTTTCAAAAGTTTATGTTCAGCTGAATAATTTTAACTATTTCAAAACTCTGTGTAGTAGGTCTTACTAGTATAGAGTGTGGGTTTCTTGGTTGTTAATGAGCTTATTGATAGCAGTGGTTTCAAGTTGACAAAAGTTGTCATCCTTATCAGTAAACGGAACTGCTTCATGTTCTGGAGACATTAGGTAAATCATTGATGCAAATGAGAAATAAAAGGGGGCCTAAGATGCTGTCTTATGGCACCCCTATGTTGATAAGTCGAGTTACTGATATTTAGTCATTATTGGTTACATGTTGGAATCTGTTAAGGTAGGACCTCATGTATGTGATAGCTTGGCCTCTTATTACTTCATTGATTTGGATGAGAGGTTTATTTGGTTTAGTTAGAATGATTTCTTTGGTCTTTGTGAATTTATTTGAGCCCAGTATTTGAAAACTATTTCCAAAGTCTTATATCTCCTTTTGTCTAACCCTTTGACTGTCACAGCCCCAAATCCTGAAGTGTCTCCTGGTGTCGGAAAAAAAAAAAAATTATCATGAAATGATAATCTTTTCCTGATGGTAATGACACAAAAGTATGAAATTTGATGGGAAACTTACAGAAATACGCTCTCGCAAAGTTAGCGACCTCTGCGACATTTACGCATCAGTGATTTCGCCCACTTTGAGCCCATTTTCGCCAGTTCCATTGTTTCAGTCGACCAAACTCATAGCTATTTTTTTAGAAATACATTTGTTCTATTGATTGAGTACAAGAAACCCCCCATTTACTGATTTCAACTATCCAATAAAGCAGTCAGAAATTGGCAATTTGGCCAATTTCATGCAAATTAAACTATATATCAATTTCAAAATAGGGTCCAGAATGAACAATGCAGACATTCCTGGCACTAAAATAACATTTTCTCTGTTCATCAGTCACATCTCCAGGCCCCTGTTATAATACTCTTGCTTTCTATTTTGAATTTTTATTCACACAAAAAATAGATTTACTGTTATGCAGACTACTGCAATATTGTATTAATTGTATAAATAATGTCAACCCATTCGTGACTGCATATTAAAATGGCTAGTTGAACATTTATTGGACAGTGACGCCATTTGTTTATTCTTGAACATCGGCAAAAGTTGAACATTTTCCCTAATTTGAGCTCCATTTCAAGATCCTTTTCACAGTAAAACCAATCATAATCATTCTATTTCTATAATATGTTTTCTATTCTATCAAGTGAGACCAAGAAAACAAGAATACAACCATAAATACTATACGAAAATACACCTCAAAGTCAGTGTTTTAATCCAAAAACACGGTCGGAGTTTTTTTTATACTGTGCACACTGACCACACAGACCCATTCTCTCACATGTGGGCCTACCAGCTTTCTCCTGCTTGATTTGAAGCCAATAGGATTTTTAAGTATATATATGTCAAACACATTGGCTCGTAAGAGAAACAGTCAAAGGGCTAAATAAACCTGTATGTACACTAATTTTTTTTTTTTTCACAATCTCAAAATGACAGCAAGTCAGATATAATGGAAAATGCAGTACATTGGGCTTATATTTGTTTGGTACAAATTGAATTGTTTTTATTTTTTCTTAAGTTTCTTGGCTAAATAATTTTTTTTATTTTTTTTATCAATAGCACTGATCTTGTATTTTGTGCATGTCCAGTAGGTTTCTATTTTTGGTACAATGCAGATCAATCAAGAAATGCATAATATTTTTTTAAAAGCTGATAATGAACATTTTTAATTTTAATGTTTTTCTCTTTTTTTCGCGTGTGTGTGGGAGGGAGTCGAATGTATTCATGTTTTTTTCCAATTTCTGCGTCAGGCATTTTAACCAGGTTGGCTAAACAATTACCACATTTCATTAAGTCGAAGTTTTAACAAGATTTATAAATATTAAATGGTCTCATGCACTATATGATAATTGGAGTTATTATTGATTATAGAATATTATATTTATTTTTTATAGAGTAGCCAGCCATCATTGCTGTTGCTGATGTATGATGTGACCTCAGAAGCCTCATTTGCCTCTGCAGCAGAGTTTTATGAACAGGTAAATCTTGCTTGACCAAGGTGATGTCACTATGGTTAATATATTTTTAGATAGGGTTGTAAGAGAAGTGAATGCAGGGATGTTGGGGAGAGTTGTGGGATTGGAAAATAAAGAATCTAACACAAAAATGAAAGTTGTTAAAGTTGTTTTTTGCTGACGACACACTGCTATTGAAAGATTCTGAAGAGAAGTTGCAAAGGTTGGTGGATAAATTTGCCTGCACTTTAAAGGAGGGGTTTGGGATATTGGCAGTTTGGTGGGATCTGTAATAAGACAGTATATATATATAATTGGGGCCCTGATATTGTAATTATTTCAGGTCACTTTTTATATTGTACCTTTATATATGCTTCTAAACTGTTGTATCTGGGTGCCTCTGCAAAAACAGTGATTATGTGCGAGTGAGGTGAAAGTGTTGAATGATGATAAAAGTATTTTCGTTTTGGGGATTTTCTTTCTTTTTGGGTCACCCTGCCTAGGTGGGAGATGGCCAACTTGTTGAAAAAAAAAATAAAAGAAGGAAATTAAAAGTGAACATAGGAAAGAGCAAAGTGTTGAGGGCAACAAAAAATTTAAGTAACGAGAGATTAGATATCAGATTGGAGGGAGTGAGTATGGAGGAAGTAGATGTGTTCAGATATTTGGGAGTGGACTTGTCAGCAGATGGGTCTATGAAAGATGAGGTGAATCATAGAATTGATTAGGGAAAAAAGGGTGAGTGGACCACTGAGGAGTCTGTGGAGACAAAGAATGTTATCCATGGATGCAAAGAAGAAAATGTATGAGAGTATTGTGGTGCCAATGTTCTTATATGGGTGTGAAGTATGGGTTAAGAATGTTATATCAAGGAAGAGTTTGGAGGCAGTAGAGATGTCGTGGCTGAGGGCAATGTATAGTATGATTATTATGCAGAAGATTAATGGCCTGGAGAATAGAGAGGTGTGAGATTACTAAAAGTATTAGTGAACTAGAAATCAAACTGACGATCTTAACATGACCAAGCAACACACAAACCTGCAAACAACTGTAGCCACACACACACTGAGCAAATAGATTCCCTTACCACCACGCTGTCAGAAGCTACACAAGTTTGGAAGTTAAACATAGAATCCTAGTGGAGTGCATGCTTCCGGTATCAAAGGGACATGATTGAACAAGATAAGCTTCTAGACTTATTTTAACCAGCTCTAACCTACCATCAGATATAAACCATGATAACTGCACCAACAAAGATCTTCAGGTAATAAAAGATAAGATATATATTAACATTGAAACCAGTCATATCAAGGCGGCCTGACTGCTAGGCAGGCTGAGTCAAAAGCAAAGTGTTAAGATTCAATTCCATTGATGCAAAAAAGGACCTAATAAATTCTTCCATCAAGAAAAAGAGTTATGTGTATGTTAACCCCTTGACTGTGGCAATGCCAAATCCTGAGGTGTCTCCTGGTGTCACAAAATCCCCCCCCCAAACAAAAATTCTTATGAAATGATAGAGAATCTTTTCCCGATTGTAATGACACCAAAAGAATGAAATTTGATGGAAAACTGACGGAATTATGCTCTCGCAAAGTTAGCAACCTCGGCGATATTTACGAATCGGCGATTTCGCCCAATTTGAGCCCTATTTTCTGCTAATTCCATTGTTCCAGTCGACCAAACTCATAGCTATTTTTTATTACTCCATTTTTTCTATCGATTGAGTACAAGAAACTGCCCATTTACCGATTTCAACTACCCAGTAACATGGTCAGAAATTTGCAATTTGGCCAATTTCACAAAAATTAAAAATATGACGATTTCAAAATAGGGTCCAGAATGAACAATGCAGACATTTCTGGCTCTAAAATAACATTGTCTTTGTTCATCAGTCATGTCTCCAGGCCGCTCTGATATTACTCTTGCTTTCTGTTTTGAATTTTTATTCAAACAAAACATAGAAGATTTACTGTTATGCAGACTACTGCAATATTGTAATAATTGTATAAATAATGTCAACCCATTCATGACTGCATATTAGAATGGCTACTTGGACATTTATTGGAAAATGACATCATTTGTTTACTTTTGAACATCGGCAAAAATCAAACATTTTCCCTACTTTGAGCCCCATTTCAAGATTCTTTTCATAGTAAAACCAATCAAAATTACCTCTATTTCTATAATATGTTTTTCATTCTATCAAATGAGACCAAGAAAACGAGAATACACCCATAAATACTATACGAAAATAGACCACAAAGTCAGCATTTTAATTAAAAAAAAAGTTATTTTTTTTTCTCATTATGCACTGCGTGCTGCAGGATTTTTTTTTATATGGTGCACACTGACCACACAGACCCATTCTCTCACATGTGGGCCTACCAGCTTTCTTCTGCTTGATTTGAAGCCGTTAGAATTTATGAATATATATATGTCAAAAACGGTGGCCCGTAAAAAGTATATGTACGACCAAAACAGTCAAAGAGTTAAAGACTTACTTAATCCTATCCCAGTCTCTCAGGTGGTCTTATAGTTCTAGGCAGTAACCTATCTTCCTGGCCCAAACTTTCATGAAGTTCCACTAGAATTTCTGCCCTTTCCTTATACAATTTAATTTTTTATGAACCCCTCTTTACTACAGTTCCATCAAATGGGTTTATTAGTTCATAACCCTTTCCCTTACTCAACACATTTTCCACACGACATGGGCCAATCCACTTGGAGTTCAGTTTTCTATAATTTCCATCCTTAGGATCCTCATTAACCCTTTCAGGGTTTCTGACGTACTAGTATGGCTTACGCGCCAGGGTTATTGACATACTAGTATGCCTAAATTCTAGCGCCTTCAAATCTAGCAAGAGAAAGCTGGTAGGCCTACATATGAAAGAATGGGTCTATGTGGTAAGTGTGCGAAGTATAAAAAAAAATCCTGCAGCACACAGTGCATAAAGAGAAAAAAAAGCTGACTTTTTGGTTTAAAACAACGACTTTGCACTGTATTTTCGTATGGTATTTATGGTTGTATTCTAGTTTTCCTGGTCTCATTTTATAGAATGGAAAACACATTATAGAAATTGAGATGATTTTGATTGGTTTCACAATGAAAAGTACCTTGAAATTGAGCTCAAAGTAGCAGAAATGTTCGATTTTTGCCAAAGATCAAAAGAAAACAAATCTTGCCATGCATCCAATACACGTCAACTGGCAGGTCTAATATTCTTTCACAAGTGTGCGGATATTGTTTATACCATTTCTACACTAGTGCAGTAGTCTGCATAACAGTAAATCTTCTATTTTTTTGTGAGAATAAAAATTCAAAGTGGAGAGCAAAAGAAATGTAAGAAGGGCCTGGGGACATGACTAATGAACAGAGGAAATGTTATTTTAGTGCCAGGAATGTCTGTCTTGTTTATTCTGGTTTAGAAATTGGCATTTTTGAAATTTGTGTGAAATTGGCAAAATTGCAAATTTGGGACCACTTTATTGGATAGTTGAAATCAGTAAATGGGTGGTTTCTTGTGCTCACTCGATGGAAAAAATGGAATTCTAGCAAAATAGTTATGATTTTTGTCGATTAGTACACTGGAATTGGCCGAAAACAGGGCTCAAAGTGGGCGAAATCGCAGATGAGTAAACATTGTCGATACCGCTAACTTCGCGAGTGCATAATTCCGTAAGTTTTCCATCAAATTTCACACTTTTGGTGTCATTATGATCGGGAAAAGATTCTCTATCTTTTCATAAGAAAAAATAATTTTTTTTTTCTGAAAAATTTTCAACCCTGAGAACAAGTTTAGGAGAGAGCCTCTCGACCTTGAAAAGGTTAAAAATCCAAACTAATACCCCTGGACCTATAATTTGATCTTGTCTTTCCCTATTGGCCTTGGTCAGATACTCATTGGTTTTCAACTTGAGGGTGTCTTTAATAGCCTGTTTCCACTGATTATGGTGCATAGACAAACTTGGCTCATCTTCTGGGATGTTCAAATCCCCAACTTCTCGGTATGGGTGGTACCCAAATTTAGCATGAAAAGACAACGTATCTAGAGAAGTATGGACAGCCTCATTTAATTAAAGAAGTATTTTGGCCATAGGTTAGGGTGGTCGTTACATAATATTGCTAGCACTGACTTCAAGGTTCTGTGAGTCCTCTCTAATACAGAATTTCCTTGAGGGTGGTAAGGTAAGCTGAATGCTTGCTTCATGTTTGCCCTCTTACAATAGTCTTCAAATTCTGCACTGGTAAACTCACTTCCGTTATCCATTACTGCCATTTTCAGCTTCCCAAACACACAGGTATCCTTATGAAATTCTTTGAGGACAGCCTGTGGGACATTGTATCTCTAAATATAAGTATAGTTTTTGGGTTGTGGAGAGTGTTAGGAAAAATACTTTGTTTTAGACATATGGATAGTGATTGATGCTATGATGGAAAAGAATGTACGAGAAAAAAGTGGCTGGTTATAGGATGACAAAGCATTGTAGAGGAGGATTTTATTATCATGGGGAGTGCTAAACCCATAGGAATTATACAGCATCTGTGGGGGAGGAGAGATGGAAGGCATTCAGGCTCAATTCAGGGATTGAAGTACAGATGCAGTTCCCTGTATTAACAGCCTTTCACCAGCATCAAGGAGTCTCCCTTGAGGGGTTGTAGAGGAGTAAATAAGAGATGGGCTGTGGTAATAGAAATATCTGAAGGAACCATACATTTTAAAATATTGTAGACTTATTTGCTTTGGTGTGTAGTTATTTGTATTAGTTTCTGATATATTCCACAGATAAAGTTACAGGCCAAAGGAGAGGCTGTTAGGGGAGTTCTTTATGCCAATAAAATGATCTCACAACAAGACGTCTTATCAGTCCCAAGGCAGGAAGGGATCTGGCTCAGAAACTTGGGTTGGTGTACCTTGAAGGATCAGCTGTGAGTATATCTTCTGCTCTTGAGAAATACAGTTCTGTATTTTACAATGGATATTAAAAAAAATATGGAGGAAAACAAAGTAGATGATGTAACACTGTTACAAATAAGTGGCAGAAACTGTGTGATTAAGCAATATGTCTAGAGGTATGTAAAGTGATCAGATACCTTAGCATGGTGAAATTTTTTTGCAAATACACTGTAAAGTAATTTGTTGAATAATTGCAATAGGGATATATATGTAGACAGAATATTGAATATGTTTCAATCCTGGGACCTGGTCACTCCAAAGGTCCCAGAACCAAACTGTATCTATTAACAATGTCCTAAATGAATGCAACTGCAAGAGTACATTTTTACATACATGTAGTTCCAGTGTTAAAGTTACTACTACAAACACAGTAATGCTTTATCATATTGCATGTTCCCAACGGCTAAATTTCCATTAAGAAGCTGTTTGTGCTGAACTTTATGCCATTTCATTTTATGCTTAAAATTTATTCTATAGACAAGACCCCTGGTTTAATTTTTTTAATTTATATTTTATATTTCTCATTAACAGAAGGAGAAGAAAGGGATTGAAGAACCATTCTACTTCCTAGTTAATGAATGGTTCAAGATATACACGGATAAGACTCAAACATTCAAACTTTTAGCTTAAGAGGATTTAACAGGACATAACAGTGAAATTAATCATTAATTTTTTCAGTTTCTTTATACACATGTCAGAGTTCAATAATTTATGTCAGTGAATCAAATTATTTTGTTTATATTATTTAAAATAATTTTTAGTTATATTTTGGTTACATATAAGAGAAACCTCTCCATGGGGAAGTGGAACAGAATTCTTCTTCCGTAAGCCATGCCTGTTGTAAGAGGCGACTAAAATGCTTGGAGCAAGGGGCTAGTAACCCCTTCTCCTGTATATATTACTAAATTTAACCCTTTGACTGTTTTCGACGTATAAATACGTCTTACGAGCCAATGTTTTGACGTATATATACTCAATAATTCTAGCGGCTTCAAATCAAGCGGGAGAGAAAGCTGGTTGGCCCCCATGTGAGAGAATGGGTCTGTGTGGTCTGTGTGGTCAGTGTGCACCACATAAAAAAAATCCTGCTAGCACACATTGCGTAATGAGAAAAAAAAAACTGATCGTTTTTTTGGAATAAAACGCCGACTTTGAGGTGTATTTTCGTATAGTATTTATCGTTGTATTCGCGTTTTCATGGTCTTAGGTGATAAAATGGAAAACATATTACAGAAATAGAGATGATTTTCATTACTTTGACGATGAAAACGACCTTGAAACTGAGCTCAAAGTAGCGGAAATGTTAGATTTTTACCAATGTTCAGGAGTAAATAAATCACCCCACACGTCCAATACACGTCAATTGGGGAGTCTAATATTCTTTCACTAGTGCACTGATATTATTTATATCATTTTTACAAAAATGCAGTAGTCTGCATAACAGTAAATTTTGTATTTTTTGTATGAATAAAAAATCAAAATAGAAAGCAATAATAATGTAAGAGGGGCCTAGAGATGTGACTAATGAACAGAGCATATGTTATTTTAGTGCCACAAATGTCTACCTTGTTTATTCTGGACCCTGTTTTGAAATTGGCATCTTTTTTAGTTTGCGTGAAATTGGCCAAATTGCCAATTTCTGACCACCATATTGGGTAGTCCAAATTAGTAAATGGGAGGTTTCTTGTACTCAGCTGATAGATAAAATGGAGTTCTAAAGAAATAGCTATGAGTTTGGTCAACTGGAACAATGGAATTGGCTGAAAATAGGGCTCATGCGTATCGGCGATTTCGCCGAATTTATGTCACCGAGACCGCTAACTTCGCGGGAGCATAATTCCATGAGTTTTCGACCAAATTTCTAACTTTTGGTGTCATTACCATTGGGAAAAGATTCTCTATCATTTCATAGGAAAAATATTTTTTTTTTTTTCAAAAATTGAGCGACATAGAATGACAGTTTCAGAAAGGGACCTGAAACAGTCAAAGGGTTAAAAAGAGAAACCTTATTTTTTTTTTAGGTCACCCTGCCTCAGTGGGATACAGCTGGTTTGTTAAAAAGACAAACCAAGCATACCATAATTTCAGTGTTTATCTAGTGTTTCTCAAGCAAGTTTGTCTGATTCGTGACCACTCAATAGTCACACTTGTGCTACCATTTTTTTAATACATGTTTTACCTTAGGTCTTCTTATGTACATTTGTATTTTTTCCTTGTTAAGAATGCTGATTCCATACATGAAAACACTGTTAAAATTATACAGCTGCTTTCTATCTTTACGGTTAAAGGTTTTTCTTGCTCACATTACCTATGGGGGCCATGATCTGCTGTTTGAGAAACAATGATCTAGACATATAATGGTTCACATTCTTAAATGATTGTATAGTATTACACTTTGTGTTTATATTAATATTCATTATGTTATTTATGTGCTACCACACACACATGCAGTCATGAAGATTGGGGAAGGGCAAAGAAGACTGCAGACACAGTATAGTCTAGGTGGCCGAAGACTGCAAACCTCACTCAAGGAAAAAGATCTTGGGTGAGTATAACACCGAGCACATCTCCGGAGGCGCACATCAATCAGATAACTGCTGCAGAGTAGGGGCTTCTGGCAAACCTAAGGATAGTGTTCCGATACCTCAAGACACTGTACACCATTTATGTCAGGCCCATACTGGAGTATGCAGCACCAGTTTGGAATCCACACCTGGTCAAGCATGTCAGGAAATTAGAGTAAGTGCAAAGGTTTGCAACAAGACTAGTCCCAGAGCTAAGGGGATTGTCCTATGAAGAAAGGTTAAGGGAAATCGGCCTGACGACACTGGAGGACAGGAGGGTCGGGGAGACATGATAACGACATAAAATACTGCACAGAATAGACAACGTGGACAAAGAGAGGATGTTCCAGAGATGGGACACAGAAACAAGAGGTCACAATTGGAAGTTGAAGACTCAGATGAACTAAAGGGATGTTAGGAAGTATTTCTTCAGTCATAGAGTTGTCAGGCAGTGGAACAGCCTAGAAAGTGACATAGTGGAGGCGGGAACCATACATAGTTTTAAGACGAGGTATGATAAAGCTCATGCAGCAGGGAGAGAGAGGACCTAGTAGCAATCATTGAAGAGGCAGGGCCAGGAGCTATGACTCAACCTCTGCAACCACAAATAGGCGAGTACACACACATACACATACACAGAGTAAATCAAATATTTTTGTATAAAAAAATAACCCTCCTATAGTAAACTCAAGCTTATGACTGTTTTGGTTTGAATTGGACCATGCACATGTTTTTAATTAAATTTAGAGCTAAAAAGAAAATTGGCAAAGATCAGGCAAGTATTTTAATGTAAGAACAAAAATACTTTGATGATAAATCCTTTATTCACCTAATGTATTACTATTATCCTATCACATTTACCAATCTGTCAAGTTAATAAGAAAAATGATCCTAATAATGACTTAAACTGTGTATACAATGCGACATTCTGTAAAACTGTTATCTTTCACACTTGTGCACCTAACTAAAAAATTAAATTTATTTCACTTGTATTTAAAGTTTTCTTTAATCTCTTCATTATAGTGTTATGTTTGTGGTACAGTACAGAAATATCCAAGCATCAGCATGATAAATGGGGAAAAATTTCTTATGATTTTTCATGGTTTACAGTTTCCATCATGTGAAGTATTGGTGTTTAACCTTATGAAAGCATTCTGTGATATTTACAAAATAGTTCCAAGTTACAAAATATTTCAAAGTTACATGACAACTGGTTTTCATGTAATAACCATAGAATGTCTCTTCTGCTTGGCTTCAAACCAAAGTTCTGATATGTCATAATGGAATATTTTTAAATTAATTTGGGCTGTGCAAGTAGTAATTTATTAATTTTATAATATAAGTATTAGAACGGTTGCTTGTAGAAAATACAGTCGACCCTCGGCTAATGATATTAATCCATTCCAGAGAGCTCATCATTAGATGAAATTATCGTTTAGCCAAATTAATTTTCCCCATAAGAAATAATGGAAATCCAATTAATCTGTTCCAGACAGCCAAAAGTATTAAAAAAAATTTTTTTCATGAAATATACATTTCCCTACAAAGAAAACAACAAGACATGTACAATATTTTATTTATTTATTTAATGTCTTTGCAAACAGTACATTGAGATTGTGTATATACAATAGTGGGATGCAATGCAAAAAGAGCCTCTATTATGCCTTGGCATTATGGGCCAACTTAACATTATTGGCTTACATTCTACTTAATACTAAGAAATAGTATATCATAGTTGTACAGTAGGAAAGTAATTACAGTGAACCCCCGCTTTACGATCACCTCCCAATGCGACCAATCATGTAAGTGTATTTATGTAAGTGCGTTTGTACGTGTATGTTTGGGGGTCTGAAATGGACTAATCTAATTCACAATATTTCCTTATGGGAACAAATTCGTTCAGTACTGGCACCTGAACATACTTCTGGAATGAAATAATATCGTAAACCGGGGGTCCACTGTATTTCATAGTTGTACAGTAGAATATTAATTAGAAATGAATCAAAATTTGTATAATACAAAGATATACATATTTATATTCTAAAATGCTTTTGTGAAAAACAATGATTCAGTTATATTCCTGTTAACAATGGATAAAAGGTTCAATGTGATTGTTTTAGTTATGATGTGGGAGTACATAGGTGAGTAATGTGTACTAAGTATTTAGCATTTAGTCTAGGGGGATTAAATGGCTTTTTTAGAAAAGGGCTTAAATTGATTTTCAACTGGACCCTTTTTGTGCAAT